ACCATAGCGTGTCATTGTTTACAAACAAGCGTCTACTCATAAGCCTTTGTGTTGTTATCATCTCTTGGGACTCAAGATCAAAGTAAAAAAAGTGCTAAACCCACGTCGACTGCATTCAAAGCCGTAAATCGGTTATTAATGAGCGGTGGTCCCCCTGATTGCGAACGTTTGGTCGCGCAATGATCTGAAATAAAGATCCAAATCCACGACCTAAATCAAATATTAATTTACCTTTATATCAGGTGGATTAATGACAGGATTAAGTAATCTATAGTCGGTTGGGGATTCTTATGAATTGTAAAAGAGGGCTTACTTTTTAGAACAGTGTGTCACACATGCGTCGACTGTCATCCCCTTGTTATCATGCCACATGTTGCCTTGTAGAGTACGTTTGCTGGTTTCTCGGTAGTCCTGGTAACAACCCGCATATACGACTGCAAATACAAATAATGAGGAAATTATATTTATATTATAAACATGCAGACTGCAAACAACACACTACCAAAACGCTGCAATATACAAGTCTTCTTAAATTTGCAGTTATTAACGCAACACACTTGTAGGAATCGCAACCTCTCGCGACGAGACTTGTGACGTCAAAATTGGACAAACCAATATTATTCAAAACGACAACCGTGTTTACGTTTGTGTAGTCATGATGACAAACCTCTACGATTACGTAATTCAACTCACGACTCTGGTTCAACTAACACATTTTCCATGTAGCCTTGCAGAATACCTTGGGCGACTGCTTTCAAGGTCAAAATGACTTTTTTGCAGGTTTTCCCTGGGTCTCGAACGTGCAGTCAAGCGAGGTGTGAAGATTGCCAATATCGATAAAATGGCACACACTTTCTGAATCTCAAGTACGTTCAACGACGCTAAGCAAACCTCACTGTGATGCCTCGCAGTTTGTCATCGACCGAAATGTACATGCTTTAAACATATGTTACCTTTCACCAATGTAATGGTTGCCACACCATTTTCATGGCGCACCATATTTGGGGAAGCGCTTCAAATTAAGGTGTTGTTTATTGTCCACGAGAAAGAAAACAAAACTTTATTAGGCACCGATCCAAACACGCATGTCTTGTATTTTAGTATCCGACTTCAAGGTACAAATCAAAGCGCTGCCGTCGTCGTCGCGCCGCGTTCGTGGGTCCCGTGCGACGTGTACTATGCGTGCGAAATGTATAGTTTATTTACGCACAATTCGAGCGCGCGCTGCGTGACGTAGACGGCGTATTAATCTACAGTGACGTTTACTTTTATTTCTACGCACATACCTCTGCCACCACGCGATTTGATCTTGTCGATTGGCAGACGCAACACAACGGTAATACTTTTTAAAATGTCCATAAAAAAACACTGCCATGTTGGTGCCAGATTATCAAACCCGATGAAAACGTAAGGATTTTGTTTTTTTTATAGATTGTGGTTGTTTTCAAAGTGCGCAAACTGAGTTGTAGTAGGAATCGTTAGTCATCGAAACTACGAATGCATGGAGGACACACCTTAGTAACCGTTGTTAGGGCAGCGATAACATTTTATTTTGTAAATAACCTGTCAGCCATATTTTAAAATAAAACAGACACCCAGAATACGCTTAGTAAAAGTCTTGTGGCGTTTCGCCACAAAATGGCGGTGTATGGTGGCAGATGTTGGTATCTGATCTGCTGTCGCTCATTTTCGGTACATACTTTTTCAAAATATACCCTTCCCTCATCCAAATTAAAACTGCACAAATACCGCAACAACATGAATACATGTGAAGTATAATATTCCCTTTACCTTCCTGCCAATGTATTACTATGATATTTATAGTATCGTTATGTTTTTGAGACGTGTTTGTCTGTAATGTTTTGCCCTTTGTCTGTCATACACGAGTTGTCCATGTGTGTACAATATGAAGACGGCAAATCAATATAAAGTCCAGCATTTCTTCCACTTATCGTCAAACCATTATAAAGTAAAAACAATGCAACAATAGAATAATTTGTGGCTTGTATATATTGACGAAAAGGCGCCAATAATCTAAAATGTTAGTTTTTGCCTTGTATTTCATTGTAGACAATCAAATTTACCTTCATTTTCACCACTAAATACTTTTATTATACATCTGTCACCGTAACCTCAAGTTACAGCGTGTCGTAATTTTGCGGTATGGCACTGGGTATTTTCAACCTACCATATTAGGTAATGCGAATTCCAAATAAGGAGCGATTACGCGCCTGAGCGTCTTCTAATAATAGAAACAAACATGGCAGCCACCAGGGTTCCACACAAAGAAGTTCGCTAAATCTGTTCTAAACTTTTTGGATTTCTGCATTCCCATGACGTATCTTTGGGCGGGGGGTGTATAATAATAAGGTTATTACGAGGATACCGCAAGTATGCACTCAGACAATACGCCGCCGCATCGACCTCCGCTGCGCGTCGGTTGATTCTCCCGTTGTACTGTCTTCGTGTATACATTTCGGTATCCTCGTAATAACCTCATAGAATGAATATATGACATATTTTATGTTCAATTCTGTGTTATGTTAAATGAAGGTTAAAGTGCCTGAACAACAGTCAGTGTTATGCCTGCTTCCAAGCTGCAAATGATGACATTGCCATGTTTTATCAGTAATGTCTATCTATAATTAGACCGAAGCCAGTATCACCCGTACGTTACTTATAAAATATGTTAATTTTATCTCGTTTTTATCTCTCAGGAGCCTCGTTCCCGAGTGTGTTGTTGACAGGCGTACGACACAAAACACTTTCCTGCGCTAGTGTGTACCCGCCTATATGTTTTATAGAATGGATTATTTCTCCATAACAATCTAATCTCGGAGGAGTTGTTAGCCACTTCGTCGTCATGGAAACCAACGTGATACCGTCTGAAATCGAAGCCATTCTAAATCTACGACTTCCTGGAACAAAACCTCAATATCCTATAATTGAGACGTTGCCATGGAAACTGTGTCGAGTGCGTTTGTGTCTTTAATCGACAGTGGCATTCAACGTGTCCGGGTTGAGTATATCGTATACAGAGTCAGCTGAGAACAGATTTGTTGCGTTTCTCTTGACCATCTGCGATAGATAAGACGGTCACATTTTGCGACGGCTCTGAAACCAGATTCGTGTTAAGTTCTCGCGACGTTGGTGGCGCAGGTATAAGAGCATTCGCTCATTTAAACATGGCTCTAGTAACCATGATTTAACTAAATTCAATAAAACAATGTAAGTACACTGTTGTCGGGCTGTCGAAAATCTCCACACAGTAAAAGATCGTATACGTTTCAGGCAAACGCCGTAATAGTTGTGTAAACTCGCTTATCACTTATCTTGTTTTTCTCTAGTCATCAAAGGTGGACAGAAAAAAAAAAAACATTTTGAGCATTGTACAATTTGCTGCCAGCACTGAATATTCCCCTGTGACCACACCATAATTTAAATGCGCAGCAGGCGATAGGTAAATCTCTAAGGTACCTAATCTCAGTGATATTTTATCAATAACACACATCTGAAAATATTAAACTTTGAAGTATGCCAGATACCGATTGATGATATCTAATACAAATATATAAGTTTTCAGCAAACATTTTCCTTCGCCGTTCTCCCTTCTACTGTACGTTGACAAGGTAATATTGTACATTCAGCTGCGCCAATATAAAATAAATACATGTGAATTTAACAGACATGGCGAACTTATAGCGTGTGATGACACAAGCAACCCGACAATGTGTATCAGAAGTAGTGAAAGCGTCACTCAAACACGTTATCAAAGTATGAATGTGTCATTCATTATCTGGTAACACTAATGACACGCATTAGAAAGTCTTCTACAAATTTGATAAGCTCGACACACAACGTATTAACGAACATACATCAGTGATCTTTCGTTGACGTATGTCGACAGTTTTCGTGAACTCGGGCTGCTCTGACAATGCAGCATTTAGCTAAAATTGATCGAAATATGACAACGGAATCGGTTAATCAATGGCAAAGGTCATCGATATTGTGTGCTCGGTTTTGATGGCGAGCTTTGCATTGGATTTAGCATTAACTTTCAGTAAAATAACGTATTAACATTACTAACTATTTTCGCTTAATAAATTATCTACATTCGTTACGCATTACCATCATGGTTGAAACCAATCGAAATTTTGTTCAGGTAAAATAATATGAAAAAAATAAGCATTTGCTGTAATTGCTTTTCATCCGGTTAATATAAGCAATTAAGAATGTAATTAATTATTGAAAAAGGGTTCAACTCCACTGACTACCCGGAAAATTATGGACTTTTTCATACAGCGACACCGGATGTAAGATTCGAAGGCGGGATTTCGGTTTGTGCTTTTTGTGGTCTGGGCACAAGGTTAAATGCCGCCTGCAAGTTATGCATACGTTTCTCGGCATAACAGCGAGGGCGCTGTTTGGGAAATGTGACGTCATTGAATGTTTGTGTGGGCATGACGGATCTGAAGAACCGTTCGCTACTTCTCCGGATACGCACGAGAGGATGGGTCATACAAGCAAACACGAATAATGTATGGGTTGCTATATTGGCTACAATATTTAACTATACTTCAACGAAATGAACAGTCGATAGAGTTCCGCCGCACGTGTTTGATGCCGACACTCGATGGCGGTTTCATGTATTCGCATTTTCATCCAATTGTAGATAAATGCTGAATTCCAATTTTACAGGTTGATGAAAAACGTAAACACCTCGTTCAATCCGCGAGGAAAAATACCCACCAATCAACACCGATGGTTTCCAAGAAGATAACGTTTTCTTAATATGAATAAGATTTTAATATATTAAGTTGAGAAAACTGAATCAATAAAAAAAGAAATCAATACTCTTTTCAAATACACCAAGGGTGGTTTAATATCACATAGAGGCAGTTTCATCGATTAAAAGCATGTTTACAAAACCCATTATTACGATCACACAAGTCGGTTCATACTTGCCAGTATCCCCCATGTACACCGCGTTTACGAGAAATAATAAATCGAGCGAGAAACATCATAAATTTATAAGGAGAATATATGAAA